GTCATCGGGTAGATTTCAATGGTATTGTTTATCACCTCTACTAATTAACATGATGTAACTTTTTATGCTTCCTCCTCAATTATAATTCATTTTTTAAATTTGTTGATTTTTTTTGTGTGTATATCACATAGAACATCCCAAACCACCTTATTCAACTATATACCCACTTCCCAGATAGCACCCTCCCATAGCCTCCCTCCCCGCCACTAGAGCCCTTATACTCTGCTATCCCTGCTACTGTCCACGGTGTTGTTGGCACCCCCAGCCATTCCACACTACTTGTCTATCAGGTGAATCTAGTCAGCCTATCTAGAGGTCTTTGTTTGTTTTAGGAAGGTCAGCTGTTCCTCATCTAGCAGCAATCAGTTGTCAATATTCCTTTAGATAAGATTGGGGTCTGCTGTTCATTTTCCCGGTTCTATGCTGGGATACTATCTTGGAGACCCTTTGGCCATCCTGGCCAACAACTCAAAAGAAGGTATCTCCTACCTGGCACTGCTGCTTGTTATGTAGCCTTTAGCTATGTATATGGACTCTTAAAAAATATTGGCCCCTTAAATCTTTGGTTATAGTTTCCTTTTGGGTATTTCAGGGCATACAGTTTGCCCAGATAAACCAATTAATTTTTACTCTTAAGGTCGTTTGAGGATCTGTTCCTCAGGGGTCACATGGGCTTGGGAGGAGCCCGTGGCTCCTTTCTTTTACCAGTTCCGCCTATCTGAAGATAAGTCAAAGGTCCTGCTCGACCATGGTTGGCTTCGCTTGGAAGCATGGAGGAAATGATTCTTCTATGTTGACTCTCCTCTTTGTAGACTGGACACTGGTTCAAGTCCATCTGGTGGGGTCTCCTTGGCCTCCTTGATCAAGAGGACAAGTGAATGATCACAATTACAGGACATTTTGAGAGCTGCTCATAGTCCCCTGGAACTAGATGACCTAGGAGGGCAAGGAGCAAAAACTGTCCTTTATGTCCCACTGACCAAATTATTATAGGCCTCAAAGTATATCTGTTAAACATCCAAGAAGGTTAGTTCCACCAGTCTGGTACTTTTAATTACTGTGTGTCATGTACATAAATCTTGGGCAAATACCAATTGTTCGCAGACAAACATTACCTAGACATATATTTCTTGATCTGCTATGTATAATTTGTGAGTAGGTTGTTGGAGTAATATGGTTCCCTCTGGTTTTTAAAACTAGCTAGGCATTATTTATCTCTTGCGATGTCTCACACCTCCATCATGGTTTCCCCAATTAAGGTGCCCCCATTTCCCCCCTTTCTCCCTTAATAATATCCTTCTCCTATGGTCCTACCTCTCTTGAGCTCCTTCTTTC